TGGCAGGAGTCCAAATGGTGCCCGTTGAATTTCTCTGTGCAATCAAACCAAACATTTTCCCCCACACTATTAAATGAAGACTCGAGAAATATATTGCATTAGATATCAGCCACTTCTTGTTAGAATCTGCTTTTCTTTTGTTTTTGTCATTTGTTTCTTTGTTTTTAATTTTTTGTTTTGTTTTCTTCTCTATTACTCCCTTTTCTACAAGGTTCTTGATGTAAAACTGTTAAGATATAACCTCTTTTTCGTGAAGCTTGAAACTTATTTACCAATTCAATATTAACAGCCCGTGAAAGAGAATGGAAATATAAATTCCTCTCTAACCATGTTACACTTTCTCTGACCTCAATCAAGTAATCATGAATAAACTTCATCAAGCTGTAAACAAATGGTATAAGAGATTGTACCTCATTGAGGTTCCATAGTCTGATTGAACAATCGTCACTCCCACTTGCAAACTTCATTGGATCTAATTGGGAAAAATCAACTGACCAAGCTCTATTTTGGTGCTCCATGTATCGGGCAAGTCCTTGTCCAGTTCTTGCATCCCATACCTTAAAAGTGTCAGATATACAGCATTATAGTTTTTGTAACCATGAAAAAATTTATCAACAAAAAGCCAAGTCATATCAAACATAATATTTGTAATAGAAATGGGAGGTCGAACTTGAGAATAGAAGAAAGGCATAGAATCACATTGCCAACACAAAGATGTTGAAAAAGTTGGACACCTCGTTCTAATAGATGATAATATCCATATAACAAAGTTCATATGCATCATTAAAAAAATGAAAAGGAAATCATAACCATTATTGGTCGATTTTTTTCCTTATCAACAAAGCAATTTTATAAATAAGAGAATCTGAAAATATTGGTGCTCCTGGCTCCAGATGAAAACCAAAAATGCAGTCTCAGTACATATCGAGAATCAAACCTCTATACGTGTAGATGGAGGCAAAAAATTCTTTAATAAACTCAGGTGAAGGTAATCCATTTGAGATAATGGTCTCGAGGGGGTGAGGACTAAAGAGAAGGGAATTTAAAAAAGAGATTCTATAGGTGCTTCACCACTAAATTAGAAAGACCAAAGAAATCATTCCCATACAGCCGAAATATCAATATGTATAACAGTACTGCAGTCGTTCATACATTTAGGAGCATTAAGTTGTGAGCTGAGTACTGAAGACATACCTGCACTAGACCATCGTAGTCGGCAGACGCCAAATAATTTTTGATGTAGTTATTCCAACAAACACAGCTAATTTTAGATTTGTTTGACAGTTCAATTGCTGGATACTGAACATCAACAGTGTCATTCAAAAGGGAACTGAACTCAAATATTTTAATTTTCTTTGAGACTCCAGCAGTAGCAATGTAGTTCTCTTCATGATCAAAACTCAAAGAGCATATCACATTGCTTGAGTTGATAATATCACCAGTATTTAATGTCCCACAGACCTCGAACTTACTATAGCGAGCAAACTTACAAATACCTTGGAAGAAGGCTCCAACTCGATCAACGGACTTCTCTTCCATTGTTGGCTCCTGGTATTGATTTTGAACCCAAGACCACCTGTCACGACTCCTCAGTATGTCCTTGTCCGATCGTTCAATTTCAGAAATTTCAGGAACATGGACTTTGGATCTCATACAGAAGTAAGCATCTTCAAGAGAACTGATATTGCTCATCAACTTAGTCCCAAACAAATTTGTCCTAGAAAATGAATCATCAGCTTTATGAAAAGACTTCTGTCCTGCATTGTTGTCTCCATCAATCCTGTCTGAAGATCTTCGAAAAGCATAACTTGCCTCAACCTCCTTGATATCAGCTTCTAAGAATTTTATATTTTCCAACAACCTGGAGGCCTTATCATGCTTTTGTTCCATCAATGTAACTAGAAAATAAATTAAGAGATCTGACTCAGCATCATCAACTTTCTTAGCAAATGATGGCTCACTGCCTCCTAGAGAAATCTCTTCAGATCCAGAAATTATCTGAGCGTTCAGAATTTCCCTGTCATTCATATATGCAGCATAGAAACTCAGGTATCACTAACCAAGGAGATAGATTCATGAATTTTAGTGGAAAAAAGGGTTCAAATCATCAAGGAAAAATTGCACTACATCCCCATCTTGAAAGTTGATCCCTGACATTTACAAATGGAGCACATTGGTCCTCAACCACGAAAACCATCCAAATCTTTCTTAAATCGTCAAGTAACTCTTGCATATCCAACTTTATGATGCTAGATTTTGTTCCCCAACATGGACTAGTACTGCAAATGTGAAGTGATGCATGTTTTGATGAGGGTCATGTGACGTGATGATTTAATGGAGATTTGTATGCTTTCTGTCAGTGGGGAGTGACGAGAAATATAACCAAAGATTGAGGACAACTTGCTATTCCAGCAAAAAGTTGGGGACCAATGCTACTATTTTCCAACTATGCACGCTTGGCTACATTTTAGGTGTCTTGACATTTCATTGTTATGATAAAAATTCAGAATCTATCAAGTTAAAAAAAAGTAAAAAATATTTAATAATTCAAGAAAACGTACCTGGTTGTTGGACGAGACGAAGGATCAGGATGCAGCAGCCAAAAACAGAAGGCAGCTTCCTTTGGACTTTCAGAAAGAAAATTAGAAGGTAGAATCCGATGGCTCAAATCCAGCATTGCTGCAGAATGTGCTTCTATTGATTCGAAATGCCAAAGCAACTGATGGAAAGAATAAGCATCAGTGCAAAACTACGTACATTTTGTCTTAAATTTTATTATCAAATTCAGTGTGTTAAAAAGCATAAGGCATGAAACACATACATACATACAAGTGCCCATGTTTTAAGTTCATTTATGTTGTGTGGGTTCCAAGATAAGTTTCCTTTTCCCTTCTTTGTGCTCTTTAAACGAGAATTCTAACTCGATATCAAGATAAGAAAAACGACATATTAGCCCACACTATGTAATGTGTGCTCTCCTGAATATAGAGGTGAACAAATCTATTAATACATCCGACAATACAATACTTGTAAACCACAAGGAGTTGGTATTTTGTGTCTAAACCACATCAGCGCAAAAAAAACAACTGAGAGCATTTGCAAATACCCTTAAAACTGAGAGTCTCCTATGATTGCTTAAGATTTGAAGACATGTTGAGTCAAATCAATTCAAAAAACATTTGGATAGGCAAATATCACAGATAGTAACATGTTGCGAGCACACTTCTACTAAATCATAACAATGACACAATATCTCCTTTTTACCTTTTTGATGACTATAACAATAGAACAGTCTCTAATTTACAACTCTTCTTCAAGCTGAGGAAGTGAAATTGAATATAATTACCACAGGCAGATTCAAGGAAATATGACAATCAAGAAGAATACCCCAAATCTTAGCAAATTTAAAAAGTAAAATAAAATAACTGACAGACTGATGTTAAATTCTAGTTACCATCTCAAATTAGAAACGGCTATTAAACATTCCATTCATGATTCTTGGCCGGTGAATTTCCAATATACATGTATGTGCCTTGCCATAGTTTGCCCAATAAATTATATTTTGACATATCATTTCTGAAGAAGAAGAACAAGAAACCTGATGTGTAACATTCACACTTGCTCTAAGTCCCCTACCTTTAATGGTTATTAAGCAGAATATAGACTCGTGTGTGTTGAAATGAAAAAGGGACTTCTAATATTGAGATTAGATGACAGTGGATATTTAAGTCAAGACTTAAAGCACAAAAAGCTAAGATAAATCAACAATAACATCCTCACCTCAAATAACAAAAGACCGAGACTGTAGATATTAGATTGAAAATCTATATTGCCAAGCTCCGCTGGACAAGCATACCACTTCTTTTCCAACTCAACATCATCAAATGCAACCCCCAACTGCCCCTGGATAGATGTGCCTTCATGAGTAAAATTGTTATGAGCCTTGCGATCAGAGTAGTTAGAATTTTCCATATCACTGATGCCCATTATAATCTGATTAGAACCTTTGTCATTGACGCCATATCTGGAGATGAATTGAGGTTCATGCCTCATCAATTTGTCCCAACATAACTTTTGCTGCTTTACACCAAATTTTTCACAAGGTGACATTTCCTGCAGCAAATGTCTCTTCTTTTTAATATCTTGATCCACCACACTCGATAATTCTACCTGCAATGACGAACCAATGTATTTAACATCATCAGGTGGCAATAAAATGAATGAAGATGGAGATATATCCAGCAACACAAAGCCTCGAGTATGTGAAGTATCTACTATCAAGACAATTCGCCTAAACAAACGCAGCCTGTAACTTCTGTTTTTCTCAGCATCCTCAGATTTTAACCATTCTCTCAAGGTAATCCCAAAATGAGGCAATTCAAGTCCTTTCCCAGTATTATCATGAGAGTGAACCTGACTAGAGAGGGAATTTTTATTCAACAACATGTACGATGCGTTTCTACTTGACGAAGTCTGCTTGTCTTTATTCTGTCCCATTCTTGCTTTATGAAATTCAGAACAAATTTCGGGGCTTTTATTTGGAACATTCTTACCCTTTGACACCATTGACTGTTTATTGAAAAACTGAGAGAAACTTGATGAAGATAAAATTTTAGATCGATCATAACCAAGAGGCAGTCTACTTGAGGATTCTTTGCTATAACCATCAGTCAAATGGGAAGATATTCTGCTGGAGTCTTTGTCGTTTTGCCCACTTGATGAAGGTTTCAACTCATGGAAGCTAGCACGTGTTCTCTGCAAATCTTCCCTAGAAATTAACGTCAGAGGATCCTTATTCTGGGACATCAAATCTTTATCTTTGGTTATAATTTTAGGCCCATGCGATCCCAATTCATGAAAATATCTCCCCTTGTGATTAATTCCTTCTCTAGTTGTTGAGCAGCTAACATAAGATGAGTTAGGAGATAGATAATCATAATTTCTCATGGTCAATTCTTCTAGCTCGAGACCTGCACCATTCACAGGAAAGGGACTTATAGAAGGATGCACAGTTTCAGCCAAGTACGCTTCGTCTCTATTTAAAGCATAACCCTCCAATGTACTTAAATGGGCATGGATTGAACTTCCTCGCCACTCACTGCTGGTAGATACACAAAATGATGTTGAGGAAATCACACTAACACCCTCTGGTTCGGTAGGATTTGTAGGCATATTAGCATCTATGCTCACCAGTTCTTCACTCGTTACAATCTCACTTTCATCAATTTCCTTTGGTGAATGCTCCATATCAAACCAAAGGTTTCTCTCACCGAGAACGAGGGGATTTCTGCAAACCCAATTCGAGATTGCAACAGTCACTCGTTAGCTAAGACACATGACAAGCAACCAGTAGCAAACAATAGTTACCCAAGTAGCAAAATCACCACATTCAAAAATTCATGTGCCAAGAACATACACTACAAAATCAAGATTTCCCAAATAAATAAATAAACATTATCAAATTCAATCCATCATCCATGAATCCCCCCTTTCAAGTTTAAATGCAAATAAACTTGTACTCATATTACTCGAATTAAACAAACCCCATCATAAGTTCCAAATTTTACATAGATTAACCAACTGCTACAAGGAGTAAAATCGTACATTATTAACAGGAATATCAATCTTACCAGAGGCCCTGTTTTCTCGCAACTTTTCTTGGAGCAGTATTTCTGCCACACGCACACACCCACTCAGCGATTAGATATTCTTCAGTAAATTAATATAAAAGGAGTTGCTTTCAAAGATAGCAATATATTAATTTTTTTCCAAGTAAAAGTCGACATTATGCCGCATAGCATCATGTGAGCCATGTCTTCAATTAACAGGAACAATAATGTTGAAGAAAGAAACCTCAAATTATTATTAAAGTTTTCGTATGTTAGTATGTTACTAAAAATAAAATTTATGGAGGCGGCCATTTAAATTTTTTGCCAAAAATAGTTGCTTTACTGTTAAGTTTTAGGTTTCAATGACCGTTTTTCGTATAGGGATCATCCGAACTCTTGTGCACCTGTCTGTAAATGACGGCCGAGGAAGGGAAAAGATGGAATTCAGGGGTTGTTCTAGCCCAGTTGTTTTCGAAAAATACATTTTAAAATAGTGTTATGATAGAGAATGTGTAGTTAAAAAATAAGGAAGAGTTTTGAATTTGTGTGTAATATTATTTTATTAAAAAATATATGATTAAAATGAAATCAAATTACTGTTGAAAAATATATTTTGATGAAAAAATGAGGCTCAAATAAACACCACCAACTGGAAAATCACATTTTTCCAATTCAAATTTTTTTTGCAATCCTTTGATTATTATGGCAGAAAATTATCGTAGTGCCATCCGAAGACCTTTTTGTGTACTGACATTATCCAACTTGTGAACAGATGATAGGACAAAAAATCGTGTTGTTTTTAAATTGTCCAATAATGTGTTGCTATGTAGCAAAGTGTAAAATTTGGTGACACTATCCAACTTAT